AAGAAAGATTCTTCCAAAAGAAGCCTGCAGTCTAGACATAGCCTTAGATAGTTTTATTCAAGTAACTAAATATGGGTTCTGGCATCCAGCTTTTTGCTCTTAATGTCAGTACAACCTACTGCAAGGTTTGCTGAGCTAGTTTTAACAATTTTTGTTGGTTCTCACATTTGGAAATTTATATTTATTGAAAAGGATGCTCTGAACTCTGTTTTTAAGTTTAATTTATCTCTGTCAAGTAAATCTTTGTTGTTTTTTTAAATTGTATTAAACAGAGGTGGACATATCTATTGATTACAATCAGGATGGTTCATATAACATGCAGGTAAAGTTCTATTTTCTCATACTCTTCAGTAACTGATATAATAATGATGAGTAAAGTTAGTTTACTGTATATTTCTTATGTATAGGCTAGCTGCATCACCTATTATTAAGTTGCCCATCTCTTCCCATTATAAGACCCTGTGTTTCAGTTGTGGATTACTTTGCCAGACTTTTCATTTGCTCTGAAATTTTTTGTGTCAGGGATTTGCCTCGTTCTGAGTTTTTATTTACGTTTCAGCCTAAATGATTTTCATTTCTGAGGATAAGACTAAGGAAAAACACATTACCTGTCAGTCTTTTCTCTAATACTTTAGAGCAGGGATTTGATATGTGCCAGAGTGGGTAGCCTGTGTCAGGAATATACCTTTTGCCAACCCAATGAATTTCCAAACAAATTTGGTCAAAGTTATAAGCCTTTGAAAAAACACATTCTGCACATGCTTACTGGAGACTCCTTAGGTTTTAGCAACTAAATTCCCTAATGCTTCTGTCTAGGACTGAGTAGCATTTTCCCTGCAATGGCAGGTCCAAGCAGCTGAGTGAAAACCAAGGAACCTGTCTCTCCTGTGCTCTCCATGATCTCTGCTGGGCCTGAGCTGTGGGAGGATAGGGGGAGAAGTTGCTGCATTTGAATGCACAGGGACCAAGAGCTGAATTTGTGGAGATAAAATAGGAACAAGGAGGCTGGTGTTGTAGAGTGGGGAAAGGCTGGGACTGGAGATGGATGGGATTTGGGGTCAAAGAACCATGACAAGGACAGATTAGAGAAAATCGGGCAGAAGTGGTCATGGGAGGTGAGAGTGGGCAGAAAAGTCAGTGCCCACTAGAGCACAATCATCTCCAAAATCTGGAATGTAATCCAGCACTCCTAAGTCTCACCATTCCAATGCTGTCACCAAATATCTGTGAAACCCACTGTCAAATGTGTGCATATCTCCTCCCCCTCTAATGCTCCTCCCATGTAGAGGATGACAGCCTATTGCTATGAGTTCTGTATTAGCTCAAGTGGCAGAAATCTGTGCAATGGATCTAAAGATTCCAAACCTGCTAGTGACCAGTATAGGTGTCGCTATGATACCACCTGATGAAATTGCTATATCTTCACTTAGCTTGTTTAGAAACCTAGGAAATAAATACAAAAAGTTATGTTAAAGAACATGATAAAGGTTACAAAGTCAAGTATTCAAAAGTCGGGAAAAGGTTATTTCATCATACTTCATTTGGCCCTCTTCTGCATATGCGTTATAACAGTCTTCAAGTTCATAATTACCTATAATGGAGTCGTCACTCGTCAAACTTGTTTAGGTGCTTGTTTTTTGTGGATTATGTATCTTAAAACCACACATTTTAAGAGTCTGATGATGCTCTGTCATTATTGAGCATTTTGAAATGCCAACATTTCATGCCTCTGTCACTATTACCTCTTGTAATCAATAAGGGTATGTCTAGACTACATGCCTCTGCCGACAGAGGCATGTAAATTAGACTACCTGACATAGTCAGTGAAGCGGGGGTTTAAATATTCCCCGCTGATCGTTGGCACAGCGTGGCAGTCAAGACGTGGATTGGTTGACAGGGAACACCTTTGTCAACCGCTCCATTATGCCTTGTGAAATGAGGTTTATTTTAATGAAACGGGAGATATTTAAATCCCCGCTTCATTGACTATGGTGGGTAGTCTAATTTACATGCCTCTGTCGGCAGAGGCATGTAGTCTAGACATACCCTAAGAGTTTACATGATTTGGGGGCATATAAAATCAAGGCAGTAAGTTGAGGCAAAGTTTAAGCCATTGTTATATGGCTTTATCATAAGCCAACACTGAAATAAGTGTGTGTTTTCTTTTTCACTCTCCAGACATAATAGATTCTCAAGGCTCGTAGAGCATCTTACAAACTGCTTCCGTTCCACAGCATCCTCTTTCATACAAATGGGGCAGCTCAGCCAAGTTCTTTGAATAATTTATAACCTAATATTAGAACAGCAAATTGCTGAGCCCATGGATAAGGATTTAAATAGAGAAATCTATGGAATGAATACAGTGTATGTTCATATTTTATGTCCATTTCCAATACCTCTGCAAATCTAGGCCCTGAATAGCTGTGAATTTGTGGCTCACAAAATTAATTTAAATGCAATTAACTTAAGAACAAGTCAGAGAAAATGTTAACCAATAAATATTTTCATGTATTGAATTTTTCATGTTTAGCATCCTGTTTAACATATAGGATTAGTATGTCTGAAAACTTACATTCTTTATGAGCGGAATAGGGTTAGCTTACTACACGTACTGTAAGGTTCTCCATCTTGTCTTGATCCCATTTTGGAAGGATTACTTAGGGCTTGTCTCTATTACACTGGAGTGATAGATCTACCAGCGGTCAGTTTATTGCATCTACTTAGATGTGATAAATCAATCTCCAAGTGCTCTCCCATCAATGATGGTACTAAACCACAACGAGAAGAATAGTTGGCATCAATGGGAGAGTAGCTCCCCGCTACCTTTACCGCACACAAGAAGCTGTGGTAAGTATGTCAACGTTAGCTATGCTTCCCATAGTCCCCTTGGCTGGAAACAGTGAGCCACAAGGCTCCATGGCTACAGACCCTTTAGGTAAACAAAGCAGTACGGACCTGCTAGCATCTTTCCCAAAATGGGCCTGCAGAGCACTTTGAGAAACCCTGGTTTAGATATTTGCAATATTGTAATATTTCATTTCTATGACTACTGATGTTCCTTTATGTGACTACAGCATAGCATTTTGGCTTATTGGATCATATAGTACAGACAGGACTCCATTATACTGCCTGTATAAGAAGTTTGACCATTCGCTGTTTTCCAAGCTCCCCTGTGGAAAAAAAAGAAAAGAAAACAAACTGCAGTCTCTGATAGCTGATCTCTCAGTCTTAGGCATGCATACGCAGACCTTCTGTTACCTTCCAGGACACAAGAATCAATCGTCACCTTAAAAAAAAAAAAAGGTGCGATTTTATTAACAAAAAAAAGATATACTTGATAAAGCATACTTGGTTGCTAGGTGTTACAGAGCAACTGAGAAAAGAACTGATTAAAACACAGAGAAATGGTATCTCTGGGCTAAAGTTGCAGCCAATTGGGGGGGGGGAGGGGGAGGGGGACGACACATGGACTTAGCACAGAGAAGTTTAACCAAACAACAAAATGAAGAAAATAACCCGATCGTGACTAAATAGATATTTTCCTATCTACTTACAATCTGTGCTTCAAAGTCCAGTCCATTTCCATGCCCAGTATTCCTTGTAGACATAGTAGTTCTGCCTGGTTCAATTCATCTTTTTTCCCCAGCTCCTAGCTTAAAACTCACACAAAGAAAACAGCAGGCAGGTATATCTTCCAATTTCAACACCTTTTTCCATTGGGTCTCCTGGCTTCCTGCCAACACCCCTAGCTACCTGAATTTAACCCTTTAATCACTGAATGCTGACCAGCACTCCCCCATCTATCACAACAGGATTGTAACATTTCATTTCTATGACGATTGATGCATGTCTGTGACTAGTGCTGCAGTGTTTCTCAACCTTTTTTTTATAAAGTACCCCTTTTAAAAATATATATAAGTACCCCCAGTACCTACAGTTTTCAGACACACAATTTTTTTTTCTACCATTGCAACACATTTGTTTAAACAACTTAATCGTAGCCAGGCAGGCGAAGAAAATTTTGGGTATAAAAAATACAAAAATAATAAAGTGCTATAAAACAAAAATTCAGTTTTCTCCAAATTTCAGTTGTGTTGACTTCTCTCGAGTACCCCTAAGGATACTTGTACCACTGGTTGAGAAATACTAGACTACAACATAGGATTTCGTCTTACTGGATCATTCAGCATAAGCAAGACTCTGTTATCCTGCCTGTATAAGCAGTTTGACCATTCTTTCTTCTTTTAGCCCTGAGTACTGTAGCATTGGGCAGCTTCCTTTGTAGAAACACTATGAAATAGTGTAATATGTTGTGACTCACCACAGGGGCGCGTCCTGCTGGTTGGTCTGGGAATTAGCTTCTTGGTGCTAGAGCGTCCCCTTCTGGCTGGTGTGTCTCTGTGTGTCTACACTCTGGGGTCCTCCTGCTCTGGGAATCCCCGACACCCTATGCCCTCCTTGCCTCAGTGACCCACTGCCAGTCTTCATTTAGCCCCATCTAGTGCCCCATCACAGATAGCTTCTCCCATTTTCCACAATGCACTGATACAACCCCAATGGTGCAGCATAGTAAGTATAGATGCACAAACTGGGAATGGGAGAAAAATTCCTTTGCAGACACAAATTGAACCGTGTTACTTGTAACCAGTTAAGGTAATTGTGCCACTTACTGTTACAAAAGTATGGCTAAGCTCTGTGCCTATAACAACTTTTAACTGTAATGACTATATTTCAGATAAAAGATAAAGCTTTCAATGTTTCTGGAAACATTTCTAATGAGAACGATTCAACTTACCTGAGATGTTCAGTAAACGGGATTGTTTATAAATCTAAAGTGGTCATTTTGGACAACACCATTTGCCTCTTCTCTCTGGTAAAGTTTCTTTTTAATAGACCATGTGAGGGGGATAAGCAAAATGGGGGAGGAAATGGAGTGTTGTGGACTTATATAATCTTAAAATAAGGAGGTGAGATGTGTCACTATTTCAGATTTTTAAAAAAGACCATAATCTACAGATCCTTGCTAGATTTATAATTATAATTAGAGGTTGGTAAGTAATCTACAACTAAGTAAATTAATTGCAGTTAATAAAATAAAAAATGTATTTCATTTGAAAAATAAAACAAATCAAGATGGAGATAAAGGAGAACTCTAATTTAGTCCTGAAAAATAAATTCAAATTAATACAACAACTTATCTTGGCATTCTCTGAATTACATTAGAAGTAGAACTTATGAAGAAGAAATGTACCAGTTTGCATAATAAAGTTGGTCTGTTTTTTCCAGTAAAAAGAGATTAAAAGAGAATTAAGATAAATATCAGATGAAATCCACATGTATTAACAAATTACTCAGAACCAAACTTAATAACAGCTGTAACTATAAATATAAATCGAGGTTTGTGCCAGTTGTAATGTGTTATGACATTAACTCAATCTTGGTTTATTTAATTTTCTGTAGAAAGGCAGTGCACAAATTGGCCTTCCAGTACCTAAATATTTATCTGAAACAAGTGCAACAGGACCTCAAGGAGGAGCTGTAGCGCCTATGACTGGGACAATTGAAAAGGTGATTGTTACAAATGTGGGTGGAGGAAGACAAACAAAACCTTTCCAAATATCTCCTACCTGGCCAGGTTCTAATAGGTTCTGCAGCACAAGAGTCATGATCAGACCGGACAGTCCTGAGGGTGCTGTGGCTCTTTCCCGTTGGGAAAATTAATTAATCTATACAGGTGATTTCCAGACTACCTGGTGGTCTTTCTACAGAACACAGGAAGTATTCTTTTAAAATTCTAAGCATTTGGCTAAATTTGCCATTCTTAAAATGAATTGGCTTTTCAACCAGATGTCCTTAGAGCTGAAACCTTAGGGCCTCTCTGCTCTATTCCTCCCTACCCAAGCCATGTCATAGCAGATAAGCCTACTGAAAAGGACCTGTTCAGAAGATGCCATTAATATTCAGTTTTCCTTCAGTTTTTCTCTGAAGGCAATTTTCACCTTTTTGCCAGCCAGATATCCAGGTAGAAATCCTGTCCAAGTAATTTTGATTACATGGACATACATGATTTTTCAATCCTTGCTTGCTTTGTATTTGTAGGTATTTGTGAAAGCAGGGGACAAGGTACAGGCTGGAGACCCTCTAATGGTTATGATAGCTATGAAAATGGAGGTGAGTGACATTAAAAAAGTTTTATTACTGGGAAGAAAAAAGCAAATGTCAGTAATTCTGAAATGTATCCTGGGTTGTTTTATTGCTATATTGCACAATTCAGTCTTGTATCAGCAGCAGCTCTTCTTAAATATTGCAAAACTAATATGTTATCGGACTGGATTTCAGAGAATTATGTTTACTGGTATATTATTAGCAAAGAATGTTCTTATGTGTAATTTTTATCAGTAATTTTTGTAAATGCTCATTTTGTTAGCTTTTTAAATTACTCAAAAGTGAATCATCCAATATTTTCAATACAAAACTATCTTTCATAATCTGGGTACTTTCCTTTTTTTCACCATGATTTAAACACTTTATATTGCTACCTGCAGTTGCTTTATGCTGAGATTTAGCAAGTAATGATTCTCTAAATATATACTCAAGAGTTTTCTTGTTTGTAATCGTTTTGATTATTGTTTTCATAAAGCTTTGCAGAGAGTAGACTAAAGATTTTTTGTAAGAGTCAACATGAAATGTAATGTAGCATTACTTGGGATGTTCACTCATTTTTTGTTACATTGCTTGACCTCGGCTAAAATTAGCCTGCCCTATCCCAGTTTCTGCAGTGGGAGCTGATTGGGTTTGGATTTATTTTTATACCACAGCTGAACTAACAACAGGTTTAAGCTAGTATTTTAGTTAATTTATAATTTTTATAACATTGTATAAAATCCTGCATATTGAGAAAATTAATTTAAGTGCAAAAACATTAAAACTTACTTTGGTAATTGTATATGCCTATATGGGTGTAACGTTGGATCCATGTTCCATATGTGGCTCTGTGTATTGTTCAATGACAATTTACTATTTAAAATAAAAGGTTTTATTGCAAAAATAAATTATTTGAATTCTTGTTAAGTTACACATTATTTGTTGTTGTGTTGATTATTAGACTAATCATTTAGAAACTATCAGTGCAACAAAAGGTACAATGGAAAAATAACATGATATAATAATCTCAGTGTTTGTCTGTAACTTTAAAAACAATAAGTAGTCCTTTAGCACCTTAGAAACTAACAAATATATATATAGTATAAATTTTTTTTGTTAGTCTCTAAGGTGCTACAACGACTACTCGATGATATAATGGAGTCAAATTTGGACTTGGTGTATAAGCAGTTGGCAATCACATCTTAATTTAGCCTAAATCTGCTAAATAAAAACATTTCCTGTTCACAAAACAAAAATGTATTAAATATATCAGCAGAGTCCATTCAAAGGAACTGACCTTTTAAATGGCTAACATTGTTGGATTAAAATTGTTGGTTTTTAACAGATATCTAATTTATTTTTAAAAAGGAACAATGAAGTAAAACAAGGTAAAAATATCTGTACTTCAGAATGAAACCCCAAATAGTGTTTTGTTTTCCCCTCTAGTTAAATATTGAAGAGGAAAACCCAAAGTAAATTGAAAATTAGATGGTTCTTTCAAGAACAAAAATAACATTTTAAAATGTATCAAAAAGAAGTGGCAAATGTTTATTTGATCTAATCTAATCTCTGCTCAATGTTTATATGGTTGATTGTACTAAGATGGAGTTATTAAAACAAGAAAGAAATGTTAAGAATATTCTACTGATTTATTTATTGACTTGTTTCTTTGCAGCATACTATAAGGGCTCCAAAGGCGGGAATAATAAAGAAGGTTAATTACCAAGAAGGCTCTCAAGCCAACAGACATGCTTCACTAGTTGAGTTAGTGGATGAAGACATGGAATCAGAATAAGCAAGATGCTATTTTTTGATTTCTTGGTTTTCTCTAAGAAGAAGTTGTCCTTCTATTTTATTCAGCATTCCATGGATATAGTTACATTACAGATTATGTCCACTTTCCCTTAAAACTGGATACCACGGAATTCTAATAAAAGATGAACAGATAAAGGTCTGGTCCTGCAATCGTTAGTGTAAAATTCCTATTGAGTAATTACATTTGCCTGATTAATGTAGGACCTGACCTTATATTGGTATTCATAGGTGTTTTCTTGTGATTGGAGACTAGCTTCTAAAGTATACATTCTTGCCTACTTTGTCATTAAAGAGCTACTATTTTGCCATATTTTGCCTTAAAATTTCCTACAGTTCACACTCCTTGTAAGCCAATTTGAAAGCTGTCAGTGATGGGCAAATTTAAATGAGTGCATAATAATATCATCATCCTTCCTGAGGCAAAACTCCCATAAAAGGCTTGACTTTTGCCTGAGTATTGAATGCAGGATTGGTCTTGTATATACTCTTTGCTATGTCACTTTATCTCTTGGTGCTTTTGTTTGTCCATTTGTAAATGGGGATAATAGTGCTTGGTTACCTCACACCTCACTGGGGGGCGGGGAACGATGGAGATTGAATTTCCATAAATATTGTTCCAGACGGGCAGTGTAATATTATTGTTATATTATTCAAAACTGAATCTGTTTTCAGGATGTGTTATTCTATCTTGAGAGCTCAGTTTGTAATACAGAAAGATTGTACATTTATTTCATATTAAATATTTGTGCCATAAAAAAATACATATTTTAAAATTCTGATTACTTTCCCACATTTCTTCATGTTTCAGTCTACAAACCTTATATGTTGTTCATTTGCCAGAATGTGGCCTTCCCAAGATCCATAAAACATCAGACTGAGAGTAATACTTATTGCTACTTTCACGTGTACGTTTTTTTCCACAAAGAAAAATGTGTGGTTCTTTTATACATAAAAGCAGTGTAAGTGCGGGGGGTAGGGGGGAGAAGGGGATACTGCATATTGGTTATTTGCTGTATTTTAAAAATACAGTTGTTGATGCTGAAACCCAGATGCTTAGATAAAGGAAAAAGACACTTTTTATTAATAAAGGGAAAAGACACTTTTTATTAATAAAATGCTCATTGTAAGTATTGTCTTTCAATTAATGAAGTGGTTTTTGTCACTTCAACTTTCAGGATACTGTATCTGTGCCCATTGTGATTATCTGGCATGGTTTGAACTGTAGATAGGACAATATAGTTGTTACAGAACAATATTAAAAGAATCACCATATGCACAGTGGCTCCGATCCTGCAGAGAGATTGCTCAGTGATGTTGGCTCAGAGCTTAAAACTGGACTATGGGATCAGGAACTAAAAGGCTATGTCCGGACTACGCTGAAGTGTCCAAAGGGGATATGCAAATTCCCCGAGAATTTGCATATCTTCTTCTGATCTCACTTTCAAAAGTATAGCTTTCAAAAGTGAAAGTAGTCTGGACACGTTTTTTTTTGGCAAGCCCCCCTTTTTCAAAAGCCGCTTTTCCTCAAAAAATGAGGTTTACGCAGCTTTTTGACAAAGGGGTTGTTGAAAAAAACATGTCCAGACTACTTTCCTTTTGAAAGTGAGATCAGAAGAAAATATGCAAATTCCTGTGGAATTTTTATAGCCTCTTTCGACACTTTAGCGTAGTCTAGATGAGCCCTAAGTGGGGGCCTCAAGTTATATTCAAAGTCAGGAGCCAGGAACTAGAGCCAGAATCAGAATCTGGGAACCAAAGACAAGGGTCACAGATGGAGTCAGGAGTAAGGAAGGAAGGGATATGAGTTGGAACAAGGCTGGTTCCTGAGTGATCACTGCAGCAGGCTGAGCATTGAGCAGCCAGTGACCTGCTGGGTTAAAAGCAGGCTTGCTGGTTCTCTTCAGCCAATCAGGCAGTCCAACCACAATCCAGCTGAGTTTATTAATCAGCCTCAATCCTCAGGCTTACTCATCTGAAGGTGTTCAATGTTGACAAGATCTGCGGAGGTAGCCTTTAGTACCTGTATGGTACCTCTCTGAAGTATTGTGTGTTCAAGCTACTACTTCATGATGAGTTGGCTAACATGACTCTATGACTGTGCTGACCAATGCAGACCAAAAACATGCTAGAACATAGACTTTTAGACAAGTGTATGTTGGCCTGCTTACTAAT